CGTTGGTACGATTCAATCCTGCGTGCTGTGACATTTATAAATATCTGCTTCACTAAGAAAGGATTAATTTATTGTTTTTGAGAGCAAGCGTGAGCTCTTTGCTTCGGAAGTTATTTTAACCTTGAACTCTTGCTGCATGCTGCTCAATTTGTTTAGCAAATTCAATGCACTGAAAAGCTAAAGCTGAAAAACCTCAACTCAACATGAAACGCTCTTTGCATCCCATTTTACTTGCATAATGTGACAGATTTTTGAATGTAACAGGATATTCAAGAGGGAAAAATGCAGCACGGGACGTGATTGTTTCCAGTGGGAATTAATGATGGCAGATCTGAATGTGAGTTTGCAGTACTCACGACACTTTTGAGGAGGATTTTTGATGCTGAAAGTCAAGTTTACTCTCTAACGCAGCTTTATGTATCCCAATCCTGACTTTTCTGTATGAAAAATATCATTATTCGATTTTATTAATGCAACCTTTATTGCATTAACTGATATTAGATTACTAGCTATGTGACGTTAACTGCAAAGAAAAGACTTTTCATTTCGATGAAACATTATGAAGACAAACATCTTTTGTCTTTGTAAAAGACGTGCACTCTGAAATATGATCTTAAGGCACTATGGCAGATTGTTTGGTCTGCTGCAATCCAGTAACTTTAAAGTAATATTTTAACCAAAAATGATAGTTTGCTGAAATCTGCTCACCCTCAGGCCATCCAAGATTAGGATGAGTTTGTTTCTTCATCAGATTTGGAGAAATGTAGCATTGCATCAGTGTCTCAGCAATGGATGCTCTGCAGTGAATGGGTGCCGTCAGAATGAGAGTCCAAACAGCTGATAAAAACACCACAATAATCCACACCACTCCAGTCCATCAGTTAACATCTGGAGAAGACAAAAGCTGTGTGTTTGTAAGAAACAAATCCATCATTAAGATGTTTTTAACTTTAAACCATCACTTCTGACTAAAATATCACTCCATAATCCAAAATAACGCTTCCTCCAGTGAAAAAGTCCATCTCCTGTTGTCTCTCACGTCAAAATCCAGCCACATATTTGTTTAGAGCTGTTTTGGACTGTTTCTCCAAATCTGATGAAGAAACAAACTCATCTGCATCTCAGATGGCCTGAGTGTGGGGACATTTTCAGAAAATGTTCATTTTGGGGGGAACTGTTCCTTTAACAACGTTTATCTCACTGTGAGTGATTCTGAGTCCTGCTTCTCATCCGATTCATTCATCAGATCAGTATTAGTGCCTGGATTGAGAAACACTAAAAGTGAAAGGAAACATTGCAATCTGCCATTTAGATAATAATAGCGACTGTAAGTTGTGCTGTGTCTGTTCTCATGATTCAGCGCTGTCAGATAATAGATCAATGATTTTGATCAGTTGTTGATCTCATTTGTTGATTTATAAGCACGTGGCTTTAGTTTGATTCTCTAACAGGATTGTGGATGTACTGTGCAATTTAAATGCTATTTTTGATAGTTAAAAAAAGTTCTGATTCTTAATAGATAACACAATGTTTGGATGCTTTCAAAGAACTCAAAACTCGGATCTGAAGAACCTATAATGAATCTCTAAAGAATCATATAGCAACTGAAGAATCCTAAACACCTAGAAATGATTCTATAAATTTTATTTTAACACGAAGGTGACAGTATTGTAGAATTCCCTTCATACCAAGTGGTTACAATAAACAGCACCATCCTATACACAGGGCGAACAGACCGGGGCTAGTTGTCACATGTATGCCAATAACAGTAGTTTTCATGATGATTTGAAAAACCTGGTTCAAAACCTTTTAAAATCTAAATCATTTTTTGACTTCTTTCATCTAGGCTAAAATGCTAATGTTTTTGTAATATCCATATATATATATATATATATATACAATAAAAAAACACTGACATACATTAATAGAAGAGTCACTATATAAAAAATTATGTTTATATTTTTAACTAAAAAGATGAAGCTGTGTTCCTAGGGTATTTTTCATAGGTGCTAGCCGGGGCAAGTTGTCACACATGTTGTAATTGTAATAAGTTTATTAATTACGTTTTAGTTTGGCAATAGTTTAATGTTTCTATATGCTTTGTGCTCTTTTATTCATTGTTTCGTTCTTCGCAGTAGTTTTACTAATGGCCTATTATAGCAGATTCACACTGTGACAACATGCCCCGCTATATTCATTAAGCCTTTTAAATGAACTGTAAATTTTGTCCTGAAGCGTGGAAAAGTTAAATAGTTTGATTGTAGTCAAAACTTTAAGGTTTGTGCTTAAACCCACCCTTATAAAGCGTCGCAAATCAGAAGCGTACCTGTGCGTAACCGCGCAGCGCGCTCGGACACATGCAGACCCGCCGCATACACACCTGTCTCGGCGAAGCTGATGATCTCCGACGTCTCCTCCTCCACCTCGTTCATGGACGCGGCGTGTCCGTCCAGGTCCGGGATCTCCACCCTCCCGTCCTCGCGCACCTTCCCGGCGTGGAGCTTCTTGAGCGCGGTCACCATCGCCGCCTTCGGGATGGGGTGGGTGATGTTGGGTCTGTCCCGCATCTGTAACCGGCTCAGAATGTGTCTCTTCACCGCCTCCAGCAAATCCACGTCCACCCGTGTGGCTCCATCCGTCTGTCTGAGCCCGCAGGACGCGCAGCTCGGGCTGATGCTCGGGGATTCGGTGTCCGGTGCCGGTGTGCAGCGGATGGAGATGAGGATGGACACAAAACAAAGCACTTCGAATATCAAGCTTTTCATCTTCCGTGATAATAAACAGCAGTTTTCGAGCGGATACGAGAGCTGATGGAGATGAAAGCGGCCAAGTTCGTATCCGCCTCCGTCTCTCCCCCCCCAAAAAAGTGATACTTAAAAGTGAAATAACTGTAATATCCACTTTTAGAGGAGGTCCGGTCCGAATTAAACGCAAACGCAGTAAATCCTGTAAACGTCTGGAATATGCTCCTGCGGTTGATTCTTGTTTTTGGTGACTCCGCGATGATTTCAACACAATTCGGATCGATATCAGAGTAAGAACGGCTCGTCACACCATCCGAATCTCTCAAAGTTGATAAAAAATATATATGATGTGTTAATAATAAAGTAACCAGAGCTCTTGATATCTGTCCACGTACAGCCGCGAATGGCACTTTTACGCACGCGTCTGATGCGTCATGGCATGACTGGAAATCTCAGCATTACGCGTGTAAAACCCCACAGACTAAACAAAGGACCTGTTATGATTTGTCCCGGTGATTTCTTCACTCTATCGAGTTAAAATCATCCATGGTGAAGGGGAGCGAGCGTGAACCAGTCAAAGAAGGAGCCCCCGGTTTTCCAAACAAGCATTCGCCTTTTTAGTTCTTCAGCTGAAGATCGTGTCCTCCTTTGTTGGACATTTTGACTTCCAGTGTTCGTTTCCAATATACTTCTTCATCATAGCTCTCTGTGTGTGTGTGTGTGTGTGTGTGTGTGTGTGTGTGTTCGGGAGCTTCGGCTTGTTTCTCGTGCGAACAGACATTGTGCCGCTTTTGAGCCTCTGGAAAGTTTTTTATACGGGACTGAAGAACCACGTGGGACGAACCACCAGCTCCAGAATCATAAAGGTTGAGAAAGCTCGGGATCTTCAGGGGAAATGTGTAAAAGTTAAATTACATGCAACATAAATGTCATAAGCAGTATATATACCGTATATATGAAGTGTATGGATGATGTTCATTTTGCAATGTGCAATGGCCCAAATTTCAGTAGATCTTATTAAAATTAAAAAAAACACACACACACTTTTTGCATTTGCTATAAGTACAAAAGACACAATTGTAGGTGATTATGGATCATTTTGTTAAATCTAGGTCAAATATTTCTGTTTACAAAAGCAAAGGACGAAATGTGGGTCTGGAAAAGATGAAGCATCCCCTTTGAATAAAACAGTAGGTTTCAGTCAATGAAAGCAAATGAGCAACACTTGTAACTGGTTTGAGTGAATGAAGCTGTGAACTCGTAAACTGGTTAAGCAGGCGCCAGAGAAGCTCGTCTAAAGAGCACTGACTGGCTCTCACAGACCAGACCAGAGCTGTAAGCCGATTTTTAAACAGAATAATGTTGAAAAGGGGGTCTTTTATAATAAAAAGCAGTTTGGATCAAAATTAAATTTAGTTTTAGTTTTGTATAAATACACAGTCATGTGGTTTATGACTGATATCGCCTCACTGATGAAGTTTAAAGTTGTAAAACAGCGCCCCCACTCGATAATTCACACATAATAGGCCCTGCGTACTGTTTACATTTATAAATGCAGCAAAATTACGCATTGTCCAAAATATTAAATATTCAGAAAAATGCGCAATTTACATAAAATATAGGTAAAAATAATATAAATATTTAAAGTTACAAATGCTTTGCAAATAAATTTGACACTTAACATATTTCAAGCTTTCACTATGAATATAAATATACAAAATCTAATAGAGAACAGTATGCATATACATATATATATATATATATATATATATATATATATATGTGCATATTGTTCCCTATTAGAGTTTGTAAATTGAGGTTGTTTAATAATAATAAAAAAACATAAATTGTGCATCTCATAACTTTAATACAATTCATGAACGTAAACACGATCCAGGTTTTTATTTATTTTTTAATTGAATAACTCAACATTTTACAGTAGCCAGAGGGTGACGACAAGAAAAAAACAACACAAAATTACAATGAAAAAATAAATAAATTTTTTTTAAAAATGGAAATGTTTACAAACAACTTTCTAGTTTATCAGATTATAAATAGATTTTAGGTACTGCTGAACTTCTGATTTCAAAATTAGAAATAGTGGTTTATAATCACCGTACTTGCATTTATGTATACTAAACTTTGCCAGCAAAAGTAACAAATTCATCAAAGAATATTTAAAGAATAAACACGACCCAGGTCGAAATATCTATATATGGTGCGGTGACGTCATATCCGCGTGATTTGAATATCCGGTGGGCGGGGCTGTGTAGCTGTACGGGAGTAGTGGATTTGATCCCTTATGTTTTAACCGTTTATATGTGCGAATCCAGGCCAAGGCTCTCCACAGATCAAACTTGAGGTGAGTAATCTATAAGAGGTTACGTTGTTGTGATCAGTTTTACAATGTTTAATAAGTTTGCGCAGACAACAACTTTGCAGTTTTGAGGTATTTCCTCGGCTGAAGCGCCCATATGTCTTTGTGGGAAAACTCTGTGATTGACAGTTTGGATATCCAATCAGATCGCGAGTAGAGGAGGACCCGCCTCAAAATTTGTCTGCTCAACCAACCAAGAGCTAGAAAAGGCGGGCTCTCGTCTTTTACAATGAGGAAGGGGTGGAAAAGTGAAAATCGCTTTTGTTATTTTAATAACAGCCTGCTTAAAAATGTCTAGTGTTTTAGTAATATATTGCAGTTTTCTGTTTCTCACTGATAATTAATATTCGCTGATGCTGTTTCCATTACAAAGTAAAATTCAGTGACTGTAAAGTGGCCCCATGGTACTTTTACTATGTACCATAATAGTCAATGATTACTATATTCATATACAGTAGCATGGTAATAATGTGGGATTTTCAGCACTAAAAACTTTATATCATGTACTTTAATGTAAAAATTCACTTTACAGTTGTGAAATTGAAGGTGCATGTCATTGGATATGTTGTATGCATCAATAATAAGCAATTATTTTATATGTATAAATGTACGTGTCTTTGAATTTGATTATTTTTCTTTTGCATGTTTGCAGTCTCATTCTGTTTCTTCTTCTGGAACACTAAAATCATGGCAGCAAATAAGAGCAAAAACCAGAGTTCGCTGGTTCTGCATAAGGTGATCATGGTGGGCAGCGGCGGCGTGGGGAAATCAGCTCTAACGCTGCAGTTCATGTATGACGAGGTGAGCTGAACAGTCATGATCTTTATTTGAGCTACAGGAATAGTTCTTTCAAAAGTCCTTCATTTACACACCTGTCGCGTCTTTTTGTATTCCATATAGTGTTATTTTTTTTTTATTATAGTTTTTATTACATTTTTAATGAGCTTTTTAAAAATATTTTCAGTTTTAATTTTAAAGTTTTACTCATTTTTTTATGTACTGTTGTCATTTTTTATTTATTTTTTATATGTATTGTTTTTTTTTAGCTTTCATCTATTTGAATTTCAACTTATTTTATTTCAGTTAGTTGCCAAGGCAACATTTATAATTTTCATTTTAGTAATTTTGTTATGTGTTTTTGTTATTTTTAATTTTTTTATATTTCTATTTAGTTTTAATTAATTTTTATTTCAGGTTTAGTTTTAGTAATTTTAGTACTTCAACTTTTTAAAAAAAAATTACATTTCTATTTTACTTTAATATATTTTTATTTCAGTTTTATTCATTTTAGTGCTCTAACTTATTTTATTTCAGTTAGTTTTATTGTTTTTTATATTTTTTTATTTAGCTTTAATGTATTTTTATTGCAGTTTTTGTCAATTTAGTACTCTAACTTATTTTATTTCAGTTAGTTTTTTAATAATTATATTTAGCTTTAATTTATTTCTTATTTTAGTTTTAGTAATTTCAATACTTAAACTTATTTGATTCCATTTAGGTTGTTTCTATTTTTATATTTCTATTTAGCTTTATTTATTTTTATTTTAGTTTTAGTAATTTTAGTACTTCAACTTTTTTATTTTTACATTTCTATTTAACTTTAATGTCTTTTTTTTCAGTTTTAGTCAATTTAGTACTCTAACTTATTTTATTTCAGTTAGTTTTTTAATTATTCTATTTAGCTTTAATTTATTTCTTGTTTTAGTAATTCCAATACTTAAACTTATTTGATTCCATTTAGGTTGTTTCTATTTAGCTTTATTTATTTTTATTTTAGTTTTAGTAATTTTAGTACTTCAACTTCAACTTTTTACATTTTTACATTTCTATTTAACTTTAATAAATTTTTATTTCAGTTTTAGTAAATGTAGTACTCCAACTTATTTTATTTCAGTTCATTTTTTAATAATTCTATTTAGCGTTCATCTATTTCTTATTTTAGTTTTAGTCATTCCAGTACTTAAACTTATTTGATTCCATTTAGGTTGTTTCTATTTTTAATATTTCTATTTAGCTTTAATTTATTTTTATTTTAATTTTAGTAATTTTAGTACTTTTATTTTTAGTAATCTTTACTTAACATTTGTCAAAGTGCTAAAATGACTAAAACTAAAACTGAAATTAAAATGAATGATCGTCACCTGTCTACATTTGTTTTTCGTCTAATGTTTATATTTTATTTCATTTAACGTTTATTCTTAATAACAAACATGATTTTTAATAGTACTTGTTTTAGTTAACAATAACAACACTGATTCTACAGGAGAAACTATTACTGTTATAACTATCACTTTGTAATCTGCGTTGCTCGCCTCAGTTTGTGGAGGACTACGAGCCCACCAAGGCCGACAGTTACCGGAAGAAGGTGGTCCTGGATGGAGAGGAGGTGCAGATTGATATTTTGGACACGGCGGGGCAGGAAGACTACGCCGCCATCAGGGACAACTACTTCCGCAGCGGAGAGGGTTTCCTTCTGGTTTTCTCCATCACAGAGCCCGAGTCCTTCAGCGCCACGTCAGACTTCAGGTCAGCTCTTCACAAGGTTGTCTGCTGTTCTAGTGTTCAGTCCTAGTTTGGAGGAATCACAGTTACAGCACTCTACTCTCTCAGAATGATGCTATCATTACAGCGGCATCCTGCCCAAAACTAAACTCTGAGGCTGTCAGATACAGACCCAGTTTCCAGCGTCAGGTTCTTTGTCTTCACTGACAGCGAAATACCATACAGAGCGGTGGTTCTCGCTTTTACTTTAGTTTGAGGTCAAACAAGCTTTAAAATAAGTATATATAAATAAAATAAACAAGATTAAGCTGACATTGTATTTCTTACTTTAAGAAAGGAAAACTTGAAATCGCATCATATGACCCCTTTAACTGTCATTTTATTTATGAATCAGAACTGGGAAACCTCAATATATATGCGGGAATTTCAAAAGACCTGGAAAAGTCATAGAAATTAATAAAATCTTAAAAATGTACATTTAAATAAATAAATAAGGACCTAGAAAACCTCAATATATGTGAGAATTTCAAAAGTGTGATTTCTAGACCTGGAAACGTCATGGAAAGAAAGAAAGAAATACATAAATAAATACATAAAGACAGAAAGAAAATAAATAGATGGATGGATGGATGGATGGATGGATGGATAGAACAATAGATAGATAGATAGATAGGGAAGGAAGGAGGGACTGAAAAACCATAAAATCTTAAAAATTTAAATAAAAAAATGAATGGAGATTTTTATAATGAATATTTTTCTAATTGTGCCAAGCGCTAAAGTATTTTATTGGCTAGAAATAGCTATTTGTGAGTAAATAAATATTTTTCATGTATATAAAGTCATGTAAATTCATTGGTAAAAAAAAAGCGTAAACTCTTGAAATTTTTTTTGAAATATCTTTATTTTAATATATCGCCACTCGTAGTTTCTGAAAATAAAAAAAGTTGAAAATGAACAGCTTTGTCATTACGGCAAATGTACCATAAATATATTGTTGAATATGTGAGAGAATTTTAAAACATTTTTCAAGCTATGTATATCAAATGTTTATTGGTTAGAATTTGCTATTTGTGAGTAAAACATAAATTTAAATTATTATTTGGTGCTCAATTAATTAGTAATGTTTCTTAATATTATCAATGCTGAAAACAGTTTTGACCGCTTAATATTTTTGTGGAAATCCTTTTTTTTTTTCAGGATTATTTGATTAACAGAAAGCTCAAAACAACATTTATTTAAAATAGAAATATTTATAAATATATGTACTGTCACATCAGTTTAATGTGTCCTTGTTGAATAAGAAAGTAATAGTATTATTTTTGTATTTTTTGTCATACTCACCCCCAAACTTTTAAATGGTAGTATATCACGGTTTCCACAAAAACATTGTGCAGCAGCAGCACAGCTGTTTTCAACATTAATAATAATATGAATATGTTTCTTGAGCAGCAAATCAGCATATTAGAATGATTTCTGAAGATCATGTGACACTGAAGACTGGAGTAATGATGCTGAAAATTCAGCTTTGATCACAGAAATAAATTACATTTTAACAGATATTCTCATATAAAACACTTATTTTAAATGATGATAATATATCACAATTTTACTGTATTTTTAACTGTATTGTTACCGGTCCACACAGGGAGCAGATCCTGAGAGTGAAAGCAGAGGATGATAAAATCCCTCTGTTATTGGTGGGGAATAAGTCTGATTTGGAGGACAGGAGGCAGGTGTCTGCGGACGAGGCCCGGACCAAAGCGGACGAGTGGTCTGTTCAGTATGTGGAAACATCAGCCAAAACCAGAGCCAACGTCGATAAGGTTTGTGCATTAAATATCCTAAAACTTTCAGAATGCATGATCATGCATATGAGCCTCAGACGCCATATTAACTCCATTGAGCACCTGTGAAGCATGTTTGGTTGTTCGCAGGTCTTCTTTGATCTGATGAGGGAGGTGCGGACGAAGAAGATGTCCGAGAACAAGGAGAAGAACGGGAAGAAGAGCGGCAAGAAGAAGAAGAGCTTGAAAGAGAGATGCACGCTGCTTTGAGCCGCACAAACGCTTGATTCCCTCGTCAAGCTCTCCTGTCCTGGACTGAGCCGTTCTTCTGGTGATGAGGAGACCAGATCTTCCTCCTCGAGCGTTTTTCTTGCCAAATACAATCGAACCAGAACCATAAGCCACTGTGCCGACCTCAACTACAAATCTTCCATATCTTTAAAGGACTTTTTATATGTTTCTACCAGTTTTGTAAAAATGCAGGCTTTGTAACTTTCCAAAAGTCACTTTTTTTAATACTCAAACGCAAGTTATATTCATTATGCTGCATCACTGTTCTTCATTCATGAAGCAGGAATAGAATCATTTTTTAAAGTAAATTGTTGCATTGAATTAAAGGCTACAATTTGTGACAAACTATTTAGAAATTAGTTATCCTTGAATTTCACACATGCATGTAAATCTTTTTGTGTTAAATACTCTATTTTATCTGCCTTTCACTTCTTTTAAGGCAAAGGCAACAGACATATATGTATTTGCTTTGCATGCATTATTATGCAGCTTAACACAGCTGAGGAAGGTGCAGACTTTGTGCTTTTATTATAAAACAGACACACAATTGAAAGTATATTTTTGTAATCAAATCACTTTGTTTATTGATTACTCTGCCTAGTGATTACAGACCAAATAAACCTCTGAATTTGTTATGATTCCATTGCATTGCGTTTTGTGTTTCAGCGCTGAAACGGTCAACGAGAAAACGCTGGGATTTTGCATCGCGCTCTTGTTTCTGCGTTTGATGACCTCCGGAGTCTTGACAAAGGACGGCAGCAGGGCCATAAGAGTTTATGAGAGCAGTAAAATGTGTCCGGAGGTAATCAGTCACCTTGACTTTGAATGTGAGAAACCGTCTATTCAGCATTTAACACCCCACTGTAAAGACACTTGCGATGGGCTTCACTTACACTTAGACATGCACAAGTATGAGGATGCTGCAATATTCAAGATGCAAGCAATCTGGACCATAGGCTCCAAAAACAAATCAATCAAATAAAAAGTTATTCGCAGTTATTATATGCAAACTTTTTGTTTCGAAAAAGAAAAACAAGGAAAATCCATGCAACCTAGTGATATGGTTACAATTCCATCCATCAATAGAGTTCATAGAATTTTGTAAATTATTATTATTTTTTAAAATACAGGTGCATTTTTAATGAATGTATATAATGTGGAGACTTTTCTCCCAAATAAAAAAGTTGCGGATAAAACTTTAGTTTTAGCTAAAATAATCAATTAGTGAATAATAAAATATTATGTAGTAGTATGATTTTATTTTCGCACAAATACATAGTTGTGTAGTCATTTTGGCATTTTGCAGTTACGCTCATCTGACCTTAAAGATTAGATATACATATTAGGTGAGTTCAGTGTTATGAATATTTCGGATTTTGTTAAAATTGTTTGATTAACTGAATTCACACGTTGACTTGTAGTTGACATGAAATGAGTTCATACACACCGTCAACTACAGATTACATTTCTGCTTTTTCTTACTTTTTCATCTATGTAAATTAGTACTTGACATTTTAAGTGTCTTATATATTATTATATATATATATATATATATATATAGCCTACACACTGCCGTTCAAAAGTTTGGGATCAGTAAGATTTTTAATGTTTTTTAAATTAGTCTCTTCTGTTCATCAAGGATTAAGGTTGATCAAAAATACAGAAAAAAACTAATATTGTGAAATTGCCATTTAAAATAATGGTTTTCTGTTTTTATATACTTTAAAGTATAATTTATTCTTGTGATCAAAGCTGAATTTTCATCAGCATCATTATTCCAGTCTTCAGCGTCACATGATCCTTCAGAAATCATTCTAATATTCCAACATTTTTGCTGCTTAATATTTTTTTGGAAGCTGTGATACTTTTTTCAGGATTCTTTGATGAAGAAAAAGTTCAAAAGAACAGCATTTATTCAAAATATAAATATTTTTTTACAATATACACTACCGTTCAAAAGTTTGGGGTCAGTAATTTTTTATTTTTTTGAAAGAAATGAATGCTTTTATTCAGCAAGCATGTGTTAAATTGCTAAAAAGTGACAGTAAAGACTTATATTGTTAGAAAAGATTTACAAAGAGAACTATGTAAAACTGTTAAAGAACAAATTAGCCTAATGTATACGTGAAGATATGTTTAGAATTGAGAATTAATATGTGACCCTGGACCACAAAAATAAGGGTCAATTTTTTGAAATTGAGATGTATACATCATCTGAAAGCTGAATA